AAGGGGATGAGGAGCGTAAGCTCCTAATAATAAACGAAGACGTGTCCTAAAGTTTTAAATAGATACCTCGCGTACATCCGCTCGATAAAATAAAATGATGTGTCTTGCCTAGTTTGAAGAGCACCTCCCGCCCCCCCCCTTAATTGCGTGCACTATCCCCGTCACCACTAATCTCAGCACCACTACTCCCAACATCACTACACTAGGAAAGACACACCACTGATGACAATACGACACGTGTTTCGCCTCTACACGAGGCATCTTCAGGTGATGTAGACTCTGCGGTGGCTGACCGCTAAGAAGGCGTATCCAACCTACAGTCGATATTGACGATTTTCAATGTGCGGTTATATGAAACCACACTTACGTGTATTATTCAAGGAAAAAATTACCCACACTTGATAAGTTGCTGGGAACATTAAGAGAAGCTGGTTTTATGACGGTGGTCGAACCTCGCTTTCAATACTATTAAATAAAATTTGTTATCATTACCAAAAATCAAACAACCACAACATCCTTAAGGAAAGGAACGACTTAGGACTCAAAAGATTTGATTTTTAAGAAAAGTTAAAAATGTTTCTGATTGGGAGAAGGTTGTGTTTTTAGACGGCAAAGACGACAAACCACAAAGAATCACACTGTGAAAAAAACATGGAACGATGATACAGCCCAATCATCCACAAAAGTACCAGAAGGAAAGGGGAAGAGGCTAATAATTTGTCACGCAGGTACTGCCAACGGCTTTGTGTCAAACTATTTACTGGCATTTAAATCCAAAAAAACTAATGAATACCACGAAGAGATGAACTTTGAAACTTTTTCAAAATGGTTCTATAAAATGATGGACAACCTGGGCGGTCCTCATGTATTAATAATGGATAATGCATCATACCATTCCATGCAGCTTGACAAGGCTCGGAAGATGGCAAACAAAAAAAACGTGGCCACACAGTTATATGATTGCCACCCTATCACTGTGAATATAATGCCATAGAACTTATATGGGCACAAATTAGGGGTCGGTGAAAATGCGTAAATATTCCTTTTTTTCTCGATGAATATTATAACATATTTGCATTAAATAATTTTTTTTTTCATAAATACTATAACATATATTGCATTAAATAGTATTACTTTATTCATCACTTATTTCGTTTACAGGACATGCAACACGCAACTACACATCTCCTCCCTTCACCGCAAACAAAATGCTCCGTTTGTTGGAAGAAGCTTGTGGTCAGGTGACCGCTGAAAACTGGGCGAAGGTTGTTCGATACGTGAGAGAAGAAGTATCGTCTGACTGTATGCGCGATGTGCACTTCGACAATTTCGTTGAAAACTAATTAATAATTCAAGTTGGAGATGATGACACAAGTTCCTATGACAACTAAGACGATGAAAATCTTGGTTGTCATTCTCTTTCCGATTAAAAACTATGTTTTAAAGAGAAAATTTTATTTTAGTTTTCAACCTTGATTTCAACTCAATATTACATGAATAATATAACCCATCGTCGCTTACCTACCCAATGTTTTTATATGTCTAGTGCAATAAAGTTGATTGATGAATGAATTAATTTATTTTGAATAGTTTAAAACGTACATACAGTCACACTAGTTACAAGTACCTATATAAAAACGTTATTTTTTGCAATACTAGATATTTTCTGTTCCCCATCACTAGACCCATCTCTCAAAAAAGATCTAGCTATTTTGTACATATGGAGTGTAGAGTACAAGGAGAACCATCTTATAAGGGGCGAAAGTTGAAAAGTGTCCTACTATCTACTGAACTTAGAGGTTCCAAAACCTAGCACAATAGCGCTGGCGTCTGAAAAACTACAATATGAAGATAGCTGTTGTGAACGGAGTGAAGTCAGCTGAATTCAAATATTTAAAAAATGTTATGATTAGAGTAGTTAGTAAAATGCCAGTATACAAAATCTCAACTATTTACGTAGTACAAAACCAAGCGGATTGGTCGGTCCTTGTTTATTTCTCAATCTTATTCTAATTACTATTGGCGCTTTTTTTATAATCTATCCTATGCTACTGCAGCGCCACCCTTATTGGACACGTTTTTTGGGATACTTTTCAATTTTCTTATATAGAGATACAGTAGTAAAATAGTACTAAAATAGAAACAAAATTCTTATAGCTGAACTCTTTATACATATGATGTTTAACGTGGTACAAAATAAGATAGCTATATTATTCTCACCTTCTTTTTTTTTTGGAGTTTATGGCCTGGTATCTAGACCTTTAGGCCAAGTCTTAAGTATTTTTATTCGGTTTATTGTAATTTCCCCACTCCTTCATAGTATACTGCTTCACAATATGTTGATGCGTCACATTGTGCAGTTCTTGGGAGATTTTGGCGGTAACTTGATCCAGCAGACAGCTGATAGTTGGCGATGGTATCTAAAGGTGCCTATGCAAACAAACAGCTTATCTTGAGAATCCATCACCATCAGAGCACTTGTTTCACTGTTTCCACTAATAGTTCACATGCGTAGACACTTAATACACAAAATCGCAACACTTTTACATATCAAAGTCCACTTCAAACCATTATTTAAACAATAATACAGGAGCAGCAAACCGCCGCCGCTCAATTTCCCGCCAAAAACTCTCTCACCTTCTTTCTTTGTTACAGTGTTGCCGTTTTTTTTCATTCCATAGACACCTCTATTGATGTGCCATTAGCGAAACAAAAAACGTTGTCGATAAATGTATTTAGTCTATGACTTAGTAAAATTAGGGATTTTTACTAGTCCAGTTCGTAATACTTATTTTTATCAATGAAAGTTTATGGAAACTGCATCTGATATCTTGTAACAAAAACGTAGTAGAATAATAATGGAGAGGGAGAATAATGGACTTAATATATACTATTGTTGTATAATTTAAAATATATCGTGAAAAGGTCACTATGAAATCTACTTAAATTCAGGCAGTATATTTCCACCAAATTATCCTTAGACTTATAATGGGTTTCACAGGGAATATTAACTGTGTTTGCTTAATCGACACTTGGTTTGCTTCACTGAACGTACACAGAGGGCACTGCTATGATAGTACAACAACAGCGGCACGACCGCGATCTGCCTTCTCTTTTGTCGCTAGATCACAACTACCAATAAATCGAACACGAACGTATTACTCGTTTTCCTCTCTGCTCTTTCAAGATATTATCCATTATTAATTCATTAATTAAAGCCTATCAAAATCAATTGAAACTGTAAGTTTTACAGATTACAGTTTTAACTTTAAAACTGTTAAACTTAAAAAGTTGATAAAACCAAGTTTATTAAGTGTCGAATGCACCCAATCGACATTTAACAAATTTGGTTTTAGTGAAGTTGTGAGCTTATCATTGCATTTAATGCATTTTTAACGATGTTGCAATTATATTCAAGCAAGGTGCAGTTTTTCTATACTTTAAAAAGTACCCAATTCTAATTATTTGATGTAATATCGACGTTATAAGGTGAACGATTTTTAACTATTTTTTATTTCTAAATTACATGGGTGCAGTTTAAATAGTTAATACATTTGAGATGTGCTATTTAAAATACTCCAAATTTACAGGCTGGGCGGGGGGGGAGGTCTAGCGCACTATAGACTATTTTTAGGCTTGTAAAGTAATGTCATATACGTAGAGAGAGAATGAACTACATATTGTATATACTCCCTCTACGGTCACATATAATACTAATACAATAGGGACGTAATTTTTCTAGTAAATCAGAAGATACGAATGTACTTACTCTCATATTTGGCATAGTATAAAGTTCCTGTATATAGTTATTATACTCTTTGGTATAAAGAGACCAAAGATGACCACTTGACATTTATATTTCCACGTATAAATTACACGCACGATCTTTCAACAGATGTCTTTTTTTGTCTTACTTGAAAATTAAATTAGAAAAAGCGAGACAAGTATATTGACTCAATTTATGTAGGTTCTCTCTATGCGTACGTGTGTACCTATGTAATTACTTAAGAGCGTAGAAGTGTAGTCGGTAAAGTAGTTTTTAAGTCAAGTAGTTCTTAAAAAGTCACTAGGTGGTGTTGTTAAAAATAATATGCGTTCGTTGTTGCGTAGTTGAATATTATGTATTCTTGTCTCTTTCCTTTCTAAGCTTCTTGGCAGTAATTGTATTTTGATTCGAAAATTAACCCTACGGAGCTGTAGGTAGGTAGTTTATCCCAAAGATATCAATTGTGGCCAATCACGTATAAATTCGTCGAGAGGTCGAACGACTTTATTGGTCATTTTTGCAATTTAAGCTAGCCATAACCTACATTATAATCCTACCAATCGTAAAGTGTATATTTGAATGTTATAAAGAAATAAGTGTAGCTGACTATATTTATTAGTCGTATTTTATATCTCAGGCTCTTTCGTTCGTTGTTCTTGTTTGTTCGTATTCGTAAAGTTCGTTCGTTGTGTGTCACAGTAAGCATCATTTACGATCAGAAGAAAATAAAAAGTTTTTACTAAAATAATCTTAGATAATATGATAGTGCTTTAATTTAAGATTTAAGCAAGTGATGTTTTAATCAAGTTATTTATCTAGTAAAATCAGTGTTTTATAATGAATGTTCTGTTTTTACTTTGACCTTTTTACATTTTGAAGTGTCAATATGGATTCTAAGCTAATGAAAAATACAGTAGCATAATGATTCTGGCTACCTGTTTTACTGAGCGGTTTCGGAATGGGGCCGAAAAGGGCTCCGCCATAAAATTATTTAGACTTTTATGTGTATAGCCCGTCATAAAGTCATTATCGTTACTATTCATGACACTTCTACTTAGAAAGTGTTTAGTTGAGGATGGTGAAATGTTTAGAGATCGCAGTGAGGCCGCGGAGCAATGATCGAAGGGTGGATAGAGATGCGAGGTGGAGTTTCATCGCCACCATCGGTGGATCATCGTTGGTTGCCTTCAGTTAGTGAGCAGCTGGCGTATGCGGAGTGTGATGAGTGTGCAAGATGTCAGGCAAGCCCGCGAGTGTGGCCGCGTCGCGGGCGGGCGTGGCGAGTGTGGCGGGCGTGGCGGGAGCGCCGCGCGTGCTGCTGTACGTGGCGGAGCGCCAGCTAGAGCCCGCCGCCGCGGGTCCCGACCAACCGCCCGCTGCCGCGCCGTTTGACGCGCTCTACGTCCACGAGAACATACCGCACCAAGTCCCTTTGCCTCGGAATACACTGTATAGAACCCAACCGGAACAGAATGATCAGAGGAACAGCTCTGGTAACATGTTCTACAAGCATCTAAATGATAATGAGGGTAAATTGAGTGCATATGAAGCAACAGAGAACATTGTAACCCATAGAAGTGATTTTTTCCCTGTTTCACAACAGTTTTTAAAAGAGCCTCCTTTAAAAGTTGAAGATAGTAAGAATATTGACAGGCCAAACAACATTAATATAAAAAGAGATTGTACTAATTATTTGTCAACAGAGTACAGCAGTGTAGAGACATTCCAAGCACGGGTTCCTGTAGAGACTGGGGAGACCACAACATATCAGAGATGTCCTGTTAGTTCAGATAATATGCCCTCAATGGTTCCAGTGGGGCTTCGTCACACTCATAATCAATTTAATGAAAGTAGTGCAGTGCAAGGTGAAAGTGAAGGCACAAACAGCAGTGAGAGGGAGGTCTCTATGAATAAGGGTTATGTGAACTATCAGTTTTTAGAACAAAGTGCAACACATCAGTCTATTGTGAATCAAAGTATAAATATACTAAATCAGCAAGTTGGAGTGAATAGGACTATTGGTAGTGAAGGGGATAGTGGTAGTGCTCCACAGCTTGTACGTACTGCGGATGGTGTGGTTTTAGCTGTGTTACCATCACCTGCCTTACCACATTCTACTGAAACATCAGAGCTTAGAACTGCACAGAGTGAGTTTCCACAAACAATAACTGTGCCATTAGGGTGGCGGAGGATTGTGACTGGTACTTCTGTGTTATACATTAGGTATGTATTAAAATTCTATAAACATTTATTATATATCTATACTTTGAGAAATGTACTGTAGTAAGTAACTTGGATAATGGACATGGATTATTTAATTTTCTCTTAAGAATTATGTGATTTCTGTAGTTCCATAACTATAATTAAAATTATTATCAATTATTGGATAATCTAAAAGAAATATAAACCAACTGAAAATATTACCAGATTTGACTGAAATTTATATGGTATCACTGTCAAAATATACTCTATCTATACATCTATACAAATAACTAAAGTTGAAGTGTCTGTTTGTAATGTCAAAATAACAGCTTTTTACTAAATGCATGTCAAAGTACATAAGTCTGTCTATCTGTCTGTTTGTTCCGGATAATCTCCGAAACAGCTGAACCCATTTCGACGGGACTTTCACTGTCACATAGCTGATGTTATAAGGAGTAACTTAGGCTACTTATATTTTAGAAAAAGAATTAAGGTTCCGTGCAACATAATTAAAACCCTAATTTACATGCGGACAAAGTTGCGGGGACCAGCTAGTTGATTAATAAAATCAGCTAAATAGGTTTCACCATTATCAACATCATTACACCCCTTCACAAGTACACTGCTGGTAAGACATGCAGGAAGTTGATGGATGCTGGTAGCTCAGGACCGTGCTTTATGGCATTCCTTGGGAGAGGCCTATGTTTAGCAGTGGACTTGTGAAATAAAAAATACATAAAATAAAAATAAAACAGTCAAATTGGTAACCTTTTCCGTTATTGAAGTCAGGTGAAAAAAAATTAAATGGTCTTATAAAATCAGATAATATTATGGTACAATCTGATTAATTCTCACAGTTTGTGTCAAAGTAGAAAATCTATAACAATTGTATGGGTGTTCCTAAATCAATATCAAGTATTTATGAAAACTTATTGGCAGCTTTTATTATGAACACTACAAATGATGAAGATAAATGACTACTTAATGTGTCTGGAAATAATTCTATGATGCATGTTATTAAATAAGTTAAATCATAGCTATTACTTAATTCTTTTCTTTTTTGATATTCTCCTGTATTTTGTAAACAATCACATTAATATTAAAGCTTAAAAATTTAAACAACCCTCATAGGTCATAAATGTCGTGATATCTCTGCAATTTTTTCATATTATTCAGATGTAAATACATACATACGTACACACAAGTCAAAATTTTGTAGTATGCATTCTAAATTTGGTCTGATATTCAACTAAAATTGTTAATTATTGCTTTAACTGCTCATTTATCACATACACAGGGATGTAGAAAAATATTGCAGGGAATAATTGATAGAATCAAGAGTTACTTTGTGGAAATCCATTATAATGGGGTTGTTATAAATTAATTTGCTTAATTCCGTGTAGAAAAAGGAAATGATGTGTCCTGCCCAGTTTTAAGAGGACCTCCCACCCTCCTTTAATCGCGTGTACTATACCCGTTGCCGTCAATTTCAGCACTACCATCCCCAGCACCTCCACACTAGGCACGACACACTACTCTTGAAAATATGACACGTGTTTTGCCTCTGTTAAGCAAATTAATTTATAACAACCTTATTGTAGGGAATCTTCCAAGAATATTGATATTTCAATAAACAAGTGAATTTGCACTGGAATTGCTCCCTGCGATTGGTTATATTTTTCTGATCTGGCATATTACTTCTTGATTATTTTTAAAATACGAGACCAGTGCCAATTTGCACTGAAATTGTGAAACCTATCAAAAAGTTTTTTTATATGATATGGGTGACAAACGAGCATACAGTCCAGCTGATGGTAAGTGGTTGCTGTGGCCCATAGACATCTGCAACTATTCTTGATTACGAAATAAAATGCAGATGCATTGTCACCCGTGAGGACTAAGATGGATTACCTCACTGCCTCATTTCCAGTAAAAAGGGTCTCTGGTTCTCTACACTCACCATACGAAACACAACAACGTTGATCTGCTATTTTACGATGGTATTCTGTGAGTGCATGGTCCTTCCCCGGTCTAGCCGACCCATTCGTGCTACAACTATACTACTAATATAGCTGCAGCATGGCTCTACCACATAAGAAAGGTTTAAGTTTAGAAATTATGACAAATACCTAACCTTCTAAAACAAAACTTGAGCATTTTCATTATAGTATCAGATGTATTGTTACTTAATTACAATTTACCCTGTGACTGGTCTAAATTTTTCATTTATGTGTCATAATGTTTTTTAATTATCTTTCATATCGGAGAAATGGTTACTAAGACGGCATACCACTGACTAGACTATCGGGCTACTATGTTCTAGTCCAGCCAATACCAACCAACCAACACATAGCTATATCCTTGACTCTTGATCATATAACATAAGTGTTACATCATTCAGGTAGGCTGGAATGAGTAAGTGCCTAGTGCAGGGGTTCCCAAAAGTTACAAAAAACTCCGTTAGACGCTCTTATTTACCATCCACCGGAAACTAAACTTATTTATTCGTGGGCACAAAATAAATTGGATTTTCAGCTATAGCCTGTAACAAAGACCAAATATCGCTCAAAAATCAATGTGAAGCAAGAAATGAGGGTAGCAGTGTCATGCCTTATCCCATGCTTTGGAAAAATGTGTGGAGATCGCCAAGCTCACAAGTCATATTGTCTAAGTTGCCATTGTATTTTATTTCCTATTTTTCGAACTGAAAAAGTTTGGGAACCCCTGGTGTAGTGTATACTTATGAAACTGTAATATTGGTTCAACATTTACTCCTTATATTTACAAACATCCAATTCAATTTTGTATAATCCTCATGCTAAATTACAATTAATTTATTAGCCCATGTCGTTTTGCTCTATTGGTTTTCGTTTCTTTTCATTAATTAGTATTAAATTATTAAAACAAAAAGAAAGAATGTAATGGATTACAATTACATTTATCATACCGGTACATAATTTTTATACTCTTTGCTATCAACATCTTTTAGGAAATCCAAAAGCCGTGTGAGTTATGACATTACCTGTGTAGTGATTAAGGTACCCAATTTTTGGATTGGTGAGCTTGGACTGGAATCTCGGTCGAGTACATTTCTTATTTTATTCAATAAACAAATTTGCTCTTATTATAATTGGATGTCACATCAATGATGGATGGTTGATTGCTTGTTTACAAGTATATTTACCTAGGATAAATTGCTAAAATAAGTAAGTTCAACTTCTACTAAGAGAGCTTAAAATATGTTAACATTGTGACTTGTGACATAGTTAAAAATACGTGGATGATCTAACTTGAATATTTTTGAAACAGTGCCTTCTATTATTAAACAAAAAAAGTTGATGTTTTTTCTTCAGCTACGAATAAATTACTTCATTAACATATGTAGCCCATCACAAGTCAAATCCTGTATATAGGTTTCCCACAACAAAAAACGCCACAAAGCACAGTACTGAGTTACTTAATACTTATATGCTTTTCAAATTTTGACTTTCATTATTTAAATCATGTTATTATTTGAATAGATAATAGAATGTCTATCAAAATTGCAAAATTGTGATTGGTGTATTCCACAATGGTACATTTTGGAAAGAAAGCCTAAGGGTGCTGTGGCTCTTTATTGCCCTGAAGCATGTGTTTTGAAGGAATTGAATTTCTTTAGAGTGGCATCTCCCCATTTGGAGACTTTATGCAGTGAGAGATTCACAAGTCACATGCTCAACCATAGCTTCTCTTTAGGCTGGATTTGGTCTGGCCAAAGACCTCGCCTGGTATCTCTCCACAACTGTGCAATCATCTGCATACTATAAGTATCAATCATAGCTCGAAAGAGCAGCCTTCAGCTGTCCTTCACATAGTCGATCAGGCCAGGGAATAAGCCATACGCTGAAAGCTTACCTAAAAAGCTAGTGCCAGACCTTGTCAAATGTATTTGAAACCTCTAGGAAAATGGCATATTATGTCATAAGATGGGCATTCAATATACATGCTCCATAAACTTGTAGAGTATGGAGGTGATTGAGATTAGCCAATAATTGGGAGTATCAGCATCCTTAGCTTTCAGCATATGGGCCCTTTCCCAGTTATATGAGAGGCGGAACAAGCATTTCAACACATGAGACAACTGGGGTGCACAAGCCTATAGAACTAAAGCGGGTATACCATTAGGTTTGTATACGTCTAATCCCTGCAAGGTTTTAAGATGTCGATGTAAGATCCATGTGTATGTATGTGATGTGGATATCCGACATAGATGTAGTTGCGGTGTGACCTTGCTGTCACGGTCTATAAGTAAATTATGGACAAAAAGAGACACAAACAAGTCCGCTTTTGTTTTACCCATATGCACTAGTGGGCCATCTGGTTTTAACCAACAGAAGTTTGTCTCGACCGCTTTGGCGACAGACTAAAAAGTGCAAATATGTTAATACGGTCGACACTGGCTTTTCGTAACGCTTTTTTGTAGGACGTGGCGGTTTTCTTTATAGCCCTCTTTGAGTCCGGTGTTTTGCGGTCTGGCATGTCAATCAATAAATCTTTTAAATATCTATTTTTTGTGTAGACTTTGTATGGAATAGTAATGGATTCTTTTTGATAAATTGCAATTTATAAAGTGAGACGATTTTTTAAATTCCAATTTGAATTTCAGACTGATAAAATGTTAATAAAAAAAATTAAAAATTAATTAATACTATAACATAACATAATATTGGTTTGTATACACAATTTTTTTTTATAATAAGGACATAAATGTCACTTGTTGTAAAAGCAAAAATTTCTTTGTGGTTTTTACGGTTCTTTAACACGTTATTATTTTCATTGACTTTCTACAATTGTGAACGCTAATCGAAAACTATAAAAATGAATGGGTATGAGTTCACATTATCTCGACGTTAAGTCAATTCACCTAACCTTGATTTTATTTATTTTCATAGTTTTCTTACTTTAACGATTTTAGAAACTCAACTGCTTGCCAAGTGTGACGATTAATTCTAAAATCCTACCTACGTGTACACGCGGGAGAC